TTTATCTGATTATACCTTCGCCAATAACATCCCACTTCTGACTGAATGTATGTAATGAGACATGCTGTGTAAAGCACTTTCAGTGCTCAGGTAGAAAAGTGTTACATAAAAACCTGTTCGCATATTGCCACATTTGGACCAGCAAATGGAAATTTCAGTTTCATCAAGTCATAATGGACTTAGATGCAAAGCTAGGAGATACATATGTTGTTACACAGGAAGAGGGGAATCCTCAGTGCTCTTTATTTTCCTGTTTTTCAGTGGCTTATGTCACACATTTCTGAGTTTTAAGCTAAATCAATTAAATCAAGCCACATGTAACAATCATGAAGCCAGTGTCAAACACCAACAGTGCCTCTAGCCAGCTTACCAGTTTATTTCTTATTACTTTTTTGTGTAACTCCTGTCCTGTCTCATAGCTTTTGCAGTCACATTTATGATTTGAATGCACAGTTGTGCCAAACACATTTTGCTTTTCCAAGATCAGCTCTATAAATTCTCTTCAGTTTATAATTTTTACCTGTTGAGACAATCGTTGTTTTAGGTGGCCACTGGACACTGAGGTGACCTTAAAAATGGCCTTATCAAAAGAGATGTCACTCATCATCATTTCAACATTGTTTCTTTTATTTGTTTTATTACTAATTTTAGTTATTTGTTTTGTTGTCAGGTTACTTTGCTGTTTTCCAGTATGGCGTTCCCTCTGAATCACACATGATGAATGGTGATGAATGAGTTTCATGAATATATATATATATATATATATATATATCTCCTATATATAGAGTATTCATATTTTTGCATATTTTTACAGTTTTAAATCCTGTTTATTTACACTGGACCTTGGCCTTCAGTGCATCCAGTGTTTGTTACAAGCTGTTTTACCTGCCCTCCACCTGTTAAACAGATGGCTGCAGCAGCAGGTGGGTGGGGCTTCTGTTCTATAACGATCCACTCTTAATGACATGCAGAGCCAAGAAGAGAAAAAACATGTGCTTTTGCCTCCACAGGGATTACTTGTACATATAGTCAAAGAGTGTCCCAAAGGTTTTCTGTAAGTCATCTGATTACATGTAAATGTTCCATGTATTTCGTTACATGAGTAAAATGTGAAGCATTAAACTTCATGGAATCTGGTCAAATGAAATATACTTGATTTGTGTATATTTTGCTTAATGATTCATTATTTAAATATAAAAATCTTTGATTTTATATGTTTTCAGTTTACTCCAAATTATTGCTTCATATTTAAGACGGCAAAGAATCAGTCGTTTGAGTGTATGCTGAACTCATTATCGGAAGGTTTGGTAATGTTTACTATCGGACTCATTTTAACATTATGTATACAACAGAAAATAAAGACGAACACAGTAAATATACTGTAAGGTCAGAAAGCAACAATGCTTTGAGCAATTCTGGTTAAAATCAAAACAAAAACTGGAGAACAGCGGTGTCGTGTGTAATGTTGTCATACTGGTCAGAGCTTGATGATGGAGGTAATGAAGGAAAACGTAAAGGTTTTTTAAGATAACAATGAGCAGACCCAGAGCAACATTTTCAAGTAGACCTGGATCTTTAATGCAGAAAGATATCAGTTCAAATGCAGCAATACATTTTAAAATAAACAGCCACACAGGGACAGACCATCATCGGGGTGTGCCCATGTTTGCATTTCTACATATGTTCATAATGTGCCAAGTAGGTGCCTTCCTGTTTTTGCTAAGATTCTCGCTGGGTTTAGAAATCAGGTCTGTGTCACACATGCTTAAGGAGACACACAAAATATGCTCCAACCTCTTTGACTTCTATGCCTGAAAGAAACATTTTCATTCAAAGAGATCCCCCTTTCTTCTCAGGACAGAACTTAATTTATTCTTTCTTTTTTTTAGTGAACTGCCCCTTCTCAGGTCAGATCTAACTTGTTTTTCTTTCTCAGAAGAAAGCAGCAGCTAACTTGCTGACCTCAAAAAGTAGCTTTAAACCGGATTCTTGCATTGCCCAGAAATGGATGAGAAATGTGTTGAAACTCAAAAACTCATCTTCACAATTAGAGATTCAAACAATAGCCTTTCATTGAATGCTAAGACAAAAAGAGGAGTGCTTTGCCTTTGTCTGATCTTAGTGATCTCCAAAATCAAAAAGCTTGGGTCTTTCTTGTTATATTTAGCCTGCAAGTCTAAAAAAGAAAATAGATTAGTTCAGTAACAAATTAACACTTTCCTGGGCAAGGAAGCATATTTGGTAACATGAACATGAAAAGAGTCCTCCACAGCCAATCAGCAAACATCAGGTTTTGTGATAGTCGGTGACATTACCTATTCTAAACAATCAGTAATGGTCTGTAGCATGTCAAATTTCAGTGTTATTCCTAAATCTGGGGAGTTGGGTTTTTCACCCCTTCCTATTCCAACACTTGTGGTCATAACATCAAAACTAACTGGGGTAGGTTGATTAAACTCATACAGCTCATAGTTCAAAAGTGTTGTGAAAGCAACATGTTCTGATCCCAAAACGTAACACACCAACGCTACGTGACAAATTGTTGGTATGTTACGCGTTCGGAAAAAAGAGAACCGTTTGGAATGAATCTAGACATGTACATTTATTTTACTTTCTCATCATGAATCGCTTTGGAAAACACTATCTAATGTGATTAAGGTTGTGGTCAAGGTTAGGGATAAGGTTAATGTTAGAGTTAGGATTAAGGTCAGGGTTTTAATTTATTTACTTTTGATTGAAATGCATATAAGAAATAAACAAGAAGTCTCCCCAGTAGTTATTATTCATAGAATGCTATTTTTTGTCTCTTGTTATAAATTTAAATCTTCTATATCAATACATTTATTTTCAGTAGTTCTACATTACACTGTTGTTGACACTGTTATTTTCACTGGATAGTGACTTTTAAATGTAAACTGTTTTTAGTTGTTTTTAGACACTTTTTGGAAAAATTAACACGCCCTAAACCACAGGTGTTGAACTCCAGGCCTCGAGAGCCGGTGTCCTGCAGGTTTTAGATGTGTCCTTGATCCAACACAGCTGATTCAAATGGCTAAATGACCTCCTCAACATGTCTTGAAGTTCTCCAGAGGCCCGGTAATGAACTAATCATCTGATTCAATTGTGTTCTAAAACCTGCAGGACACCGGCCATCAAAGCCTGGAGTTTCGACACCCCGGCCCTAAACGATCGAGGAACCATGGACGGTCACTTCATTGACCTTTATGTGCACCATAAAAATGAAAACATTTTAAAAAAGTCACACAAGTTAAAAAAAAAAAGTCCTGTAATAGTCTCCAATAACACTTGTTATTAATAAAAAATTAACATCCATTTTAACAAGTGCCCCCTAAAGGGTTAAGTTATAGATTAATCAGTCATTACTCTGAGGCTACAAAATATTTATTGACTGTTTCAGTCAGAGTTTATCCAAAGTTGTGAGCCAAATATGAACAATTTCAGCTAAAAAAAAAAAGAAAAAAGGACACGATAGGTGACTGAATGCAAGCCAGAAGGCTCAAAAGCAGCTCTGCTTAAATCCTCTCATCCTTGCTCAAACAGCCCTCTGTTTGCAAGTAAATAATCTCATCTTCACTTATTCAGTGCCACATTAAATCATTTATGAGGACGTAACGGTCACATTTAATGACAGCTTAGTGCCACAGCTAGACACAATCTCATGTTTATAAAATACAAGTGGAGAAATGAATATGCTCTATAAAACAATCATTAGGATGTGAGGACCACCATCACACTGTTGTGCTTTGATTATAACCCACATATAAAGATTCAATTACTCCTTTCTGCTCAGAAAAGGCGTAAATCTAAGCCCGTTTAAGTTGGGAGGTGATATGGAAGCCAAATCAAATATTACCGTGATGTACGTCTGGATCCCCGTTAATCCAGCGACAACAGAAATTTGCGATGCCTTCAGGGTATCGCAGGGATAATGCCGAGAGCCACGGTTCCATGATTTACATAGTTGATCTAACAATCAGTGTTTCCCAGCCTTTCCTCATACGGTGTGGGACTGTTTGTGGACTGAGTGGTGCTCTGGGTAAACCTCTTTACCATGCAGATCAAACAAAAGCAGACAGACTGGAGGGCTTGTGGCTACACAGCTCTCAGCACATTTAGTGGATTTAGTCTGTTGTGGCGGCGACCCAATGACAACTTCACCGAGCGCTGAGCAAATCCTTCAATCCACAGATTGACGCTCCCGAGCCTCTCAGTCAAATAAGGCCATTAGTGCCATCGCAAGTAATCTGGGCCTCCAGCACCCACAGATTGAGCCTTTTGCTCCACCGAAAAAACCCACACGGTGGAAGCGTCCCGATGACCGACTTTTTCCAGACGGGCTGGAAACCCCTGAAAATGAGCGAAGCGATGGCTCCAGACTCAAATGCCATGATTCACAGGGAAAGCCCAGCATGCATAAGGCGGAAAAATCCTTCCAACAGCAAGTTTACCAAAAAAGTTTGACTTTAGCAAAAGCTTGAAACTATCCTGAAAGGCTGTGTCAAAACTTCCTGTAAGTACATATTCCACCACTGTTGGCACATGGCTATCTTATTGTGTTTGTTATTGCCACCCTCTAATCATATTGACTGTATCACAATAAGCTCAAAACAGGAGTGCCAGAGCTCTATTGTCAAACTCCTATGAAAGAAGCAAATTGCTTATAAGTTTAAAAAGAAAATCTATTTTAACACCAGCCCCAATAGCATAATCAAAGTCCCGAGCCTGGTTCATAGCTGCTCTTTAACCGAGCAATCCTTGTTCTCTTTACAGCCAGTCATCATCATGTCATACCCAGAGCTCATAACAAATCTCAGTCTGCAGCCCACGGCCTTCATAAACACCCTCCTAAAACAGAACAATGAATTTAACGCTTCAACGCGCTGCCACCCATTCTGCTTTTAACATCCTGTGCTAATAGACATCATGAGACAGCCACGCTGGCCCTGGCTCACCTGAGCTGGGGAAAAATATGGTCCTACCTTCACAGTAAGTAGAATCCCCGTGGATGGAGGCATAGCCACTCTTGCATTCACACTCTGCTTTAGTATTCCTGTTTTTACACTCTGAGTTTTCCCCACAAATGAGTCCCTCTGCGCAGAAGTCATAACCTAAAAGAAAAGAGCAAAGGAAACCTTTGAAATCTGCTCACTCAAGGCTATAAAATGTTGTGTACAGACACACAAACACACACACATGCATGCCCGTAACGCAGAGATAAAAGCAGATAAATGCACAAAGGAGCAACCTTGTTCCTGTCATCTACAACACTGTGGATAACAGGGTGCCTGAAGTGTACGGTGAGTTTACAACTTTAAATAAATCTGGTGTATTAATGAAAGTTCTCATGCAAAAGTGCACGTGCTAACGAGACAAAACATGCAAATGCAGACACACAAACACACTCTGCTGATGTAGGAAGATCTCCAAGTCATCAATTCACTCGGCTGAGTGAGCCACGGTTCTCTTACAGTATTTGAAGACATCCTTTTAATGAATTTTCAATTTCTGAAAAACCACAACTACCACAACAGGTGGAGCACTGCATCAGTTATGCAGAATGGACAACTTTCAAAATTCAAAACACAAATACGCACACATACACAAAACTGCAGTATAACAAGCTTTGCTATGTAATTAAAATACTGTAGAGTGTATTCTGTGTGTGCAGCTATGATGCTATCTCAAGGCAACATGGAATAATTACAGCTGCGTTTACAGAAGAGTAGTAATGAGTGAAAACTTCCAATTGCTGACTTCCCCAATGACCAGCTGTGTTTCAGTCCTAGAGGAAATCGTGCCCAGTAGTTTAACTCTTCTCCCCCTATCGCTGCTCCACCCAAGCAGCCACTGCCAGGGCTGAAAAATGAAGCCAAACGATGAAGTGCCAGTTCCTCAAATGGCCACTTGAGACTATCTACAAAAGCCAGTTAATCTCCATTGGGTACACATCAAAGTGCCCAACTTGCTAGGAGGAATAAACATGTTTATGCCTAGTACAAAAGAAGAAAAAGGTTCTGGTCATGGTGACAAGTGAATTTCTATGTAAGTCGCCCATTTAAATATTGAAGTCCTGCATGATAAAGGGGCCTCTTGGTTACAAGTAGATGCTGGCACAGGTGGCTGGAGCCACTAGCTGCCTGCTAGACATTACCTCAGCTAACTGGAGTAGCTGAGCTGGACCTCTTTACTGTCCTTTTGTGGTGCTGGTGCTGTTTGGAGTGTTTTGATGTGAGTATCTGACAAATAACAGGGCTTGCTGTGAGATTAATTGCACTGATGATATTGATGTTTTTTTTTATTAATTTTTTCCCCTTTAGCAATAATTAACAAGTACCTAGCTGTAGCTAGTAGCTAGTTAGATGATAACTTCGAACTCTGGTCTCCTGCCTGTGTGTGATCATTTCTGCCTACGTAGATAGAGAACAGCTACATCTATCATTCATCTGTGCTCTGTGATCTGAACCAAGCCATAGTGAGACTCATGCACATGCACAAAAATGTGACCCAACAGAGAGACAGACAGACATAGATGATTGTCTCCTGCTCAGTAGGTACGAGTTGATATAGCCCATCGTGTCCTGTAATGAGTGACAGACTGGCTGCACATAAAAGCCCTGCGAGGCAGGGAGCCCGGGGAGCTATTACCGAAGAAAGACTTGTGCCTGCATTATTCTCCCTCTCAGTCCTTACATCATCTGCAGCAGGTCCTCACAGGATCATGTGGACATGTTGCAGAGAGACCAACTGTGATAGCGTGTTTATGTAAAAGGGGAGTTGTTGCTGGATTTTGATTTGCACTGCACTGCGCGCTTGCACGAGCCCCTCACACTGTGCAATTCTTTGTTTTCTTTCCCCGGTGAAATTCTACCTGGTATGAAGACTATGTGACAATTGTGTAATTACCAATTTAACAAAGCCAGCGTGACTCCGAGGACTTTAACAGCGAGGTACAATTACATCTCAGAGTGGTGGTAAAGGACCAAGTCACGACGCGGTTAAAAGAGGCCTGGAGATGATTTGGTAACAATGATAATGAATAATGACCGACTCTGCTTTTTAGCAAGTGTGTGTGTGTGTGTGTGTGTGTGTGTGTGTGTGTGTGTGTGTGTCGGAGAGGTAAGAAAAGGTTTGGAGAGAAGAGGCACTGAGACTTTAATCTTTAATTGCTGCTCCTTACTGTATTAAATCTACTTTTCTGTTCTTCCTTCCTCAGCTATATTTCCCTTAATACTGCAAAGCTTTCTTTTCTCTCCTTACTCTTTTCTCTTACTTTCCAACAAAAGGAGTTCAAGTCCTTTCCTTCCTTTACTCTTTAGTTCCTCTCCTGCTTTCTCTTTACTCTCTCTCCTCATTCTTTACCTAACACTCTCAGTATTGTCAGTATATCAGTTTGTAGTCATCATCTCTTTTCCTTTCTTTTGCTGGCATGTGCGTTTTACCTTATTTACCTCCCATCTGCCCCCTTCCTTCACTTCATCACAGCAAGTCTAAGACTTAATTTTACCTTCCGTTACCTTTCTGCTTTTTGCTGTCTTATGCTATACTCATTTATCTTTTCGCCTCCCTCTCTTTCTTATTCCCAAACATGTATTTTTCCTTTCCATTTCATCCCCGTCCTGTGAGAATACAGTGAGTCTAAGAAATGCTAGCTTACCTAAACAAGAGTGCAATTTCCTTCACTCAGAACCTGCCCCGGTATTCTTTCATTATGTCTCTGTAGATGGCAGGCTCCTGTAGTTTGTTTATTCAATGTATTTACTGAATTACCAGTGGCTATTTACCCCGTAGCACTTCCCTGCCAAAGCAGTGGGGTTCAGGTAAATAGGCATAGCAGGTGCTCTATGGCAGAAAGACCAATCTGCTCTGAAAGGTACACGGGCCAAAAAGCATTCACAGTGGATGACAAGGGAGAGAGACTAAATTATTGCAGAGGCACAGCCTGAATCAGCACTGGGAAGATGGCTGTGTTTACTCCTCACAGCGACACGGTACCGGTGTGTACATGCGAGAAGAAAAAAAAGAAGAAAAAAAAGTAATTCGTGCAACTGAGAAAAGTGCAGTGGGAAGTGGAAAGAAACATGTACCTCTGCAAACATTGCAGCATCTGCCATCTGGTAAGATCTGTTCACTGAGGGTGCAGTTTAGATCTGGACAGGTCTCTGTGACTTTCACCATCAGGCCATTCTGGAAGGACAGGACACAGGCAAGACATTGTGATTTCAGAGATGGGGTCAGATGTGTGAAGGGCTATGCATTAAGAGAGAATCAGTTTTCCACCAGTTATACAATCTGATCTCTTATAATATTTAAAACTGCAACCTCTCATCCACAGGACTGCTTCTTCAACCTTTAGGCCATTTTTTTTCTTATCAGTCCCATTTCCCGACTTTAAACACTTAAATCAGCTGTTTTTTGAAAGGCCATACTGGGTATTGAGTAAATTATATTATATTATATTAATATTTCACATCTTTCCTCAATGTCGTCCCTATGTAGGAACCATTTTAACTGCTTTCTCGTGTCATCTGTAAATAGCCCAGTTTCTTGGTGAACCTCTGTCTCACCATCTGATCGTGCTGTTTTTCTAAAAATGTATTCTGTATTTTAGTTAATTTATTAAAGCTGCACTATTTCTGCACTACTGACTCAAACAGTAGACACATAAAAACATTTGAATGAGGAAAAGCCTAAATGAGCCAAATAGATCATTTGTCTCTGAAGGAGCCAAAGGAACCATGGAAATAAAATGAATATTAGATTTTAAAACTTAAATTAATAATAATGTTGCTCTGTGTGTGACCAGGGTGGAAATAAATATATATATGGTAATATTTTAGTTAGCTTCATAAAACGATTACATATCTAACTGTTACAGTGTTGCCATCTGTCAAATAAATGAATATATTCATCATTAATTAATAAAATTACCAGTTTGGCTTAAGCTCAGTCTGTTCGCCCAATCTGCAAAATCTCAGAAAATACCAATAAATGAAAACCTTAAAACCACGTACTTTATTTTTGAAAAGCACTTTTTACTCTATTATTTTTAACATGCAACTATATGTTAATGGTTGTCAAATCAATTCTTTGAATACTGGCATTGTTTGGTGCCATCGACAGCTACGATGAGCTCAGCAACACCAAGCCTGTGCACAGTGCAGTATAATTCATCAGTCAGTATTAGTCTTCACAGTATTTACTCAATACTTTGTTGAAGCATCTTTGGCAGGAATACAGCCTGAAATATTTTTGTGTATGATGCTACAAGCTTTGTACATATATTTTTGGCATTTTCTCAAATGTTTCTTTGCAGAACTTCTCAGCCTCCATCAGGTTGGATGGAGAATAATTTTAAGCCATTTTCAGATCTCTCCAAAGATGTTCAATCATATTGAAGTCTGGGTTCTGGCTCGATCACTCAAGGACATTCACAGAGTGGTCCTGAAGAACCTCCTTTATTATGTTGGCTGTGTGTTTGGGGTTGTTGTTTTGTTGGAAGATGAACCTTCGCCCCAGTCCGAGGTCTAGGGTGCTCTGGAGCACCAAGGATGAACATCAAGGATATCTCTTTACATTGCTGCATTCATCTTACCCTCGACCCTGACTAGTCTCCAAGTTCCTGCATCCCAAAAAACATCTCCACAGCATAATCCTGCCACCAACATGCTTCACTGTATGGGTTTGCCCGCTCTACCATACAGGCCAAGCCGGTGGAGTGCTGCAGAAATAGTTGTCCTTCTGGAAGGTTCTCTTTTCAAAGAGCAAAGCTGGAGCTCTGTCAAAGTGGTCGGCTCCCTGAGTAAGGCCCTTCTACCCTAATCAATCGGATTAGCTTGACTGCAAGCTCTAGGAAGAGTCCTGGTGGTTCCAAACTTCTTCCATTTAGAGATGATAGAGGCCGCTCTGCTCATTGGGACTTACAATGCTGCAGAAATGTTTCTGTACCGTGCCCCAGATCTGTACCTCAATTCAATCCTGCTTTAGAGGTCTACAGTTAAATCCTTAGACATCATGGCTGTCACGCACTGTCAACTTTGCGACCATATATAAACAGGTGTGTGCCTTCCAAATCATGTCCAGTCAACTGAATTCACCACAGCTGGACCACAGCACGTGCAGAAACATCTGACAGATGATCAGTGGAAACAGGATGCACCTGAGCTCAATTTTGTGTGTACATGTTTTATTGTCGTCATTATTTTATTCAGTTGTTTCACTTTGTCATTGTGCGGTATTATGTGTAGAATTTTGAGGTGAAAAAATACATTTTAAAAATGTATTTAATACATTTTGGAATAAAATAACACAAAAACACAAAGTGTAGACTGTGAATACTTTTTATTACACCGTTTTTAAGACTGTAGAGGCTGGAGGAGTGACAGGTTGTGTAGGGCAAGTAACTCGGATCCTGAATGCTGATGTTTTGGATTTAAATTGTGTAAAAAAATAAATAAATAAAATAAAGTTGAGGTAAACTAAAATGATCAGTACTGAAATAAGCCAGAAGTAATATAAAGAGATTAAAAAAAAGTTACTTATATTGAACGTATGATTTTCAAGTTAAAGGCTTCCTTATAGAAATGGCACTGCTGTATGCTGGATCAGCGAATACTAAAGAAATGGAAATTCTCTGTTTTTGTCAGTGACAATTTTATTTAGAGTCCCTAAGAGTTAATCACCCCTGGAGGTGACCTAGCTTTCAGTTGAAAGCAGTGGCTGGCTCAGAGGTCGTTAATCAACGTAAAAAGTGATGACATGCTTTTGGCAAGTGATCAAACACACAGGATTTGTAGTCAGTGGACTTAAACATGTGAACACACTAACCGAGTTTTAAATCAACACTAATGGTTTGAAGCTGCCGAGCAGAATGACTAATGTCACGCATCATAATGCTTCATAATTTGGCCTAGAGTGGTCCTCTCTTTCCTTCTTTTCTCTTTCTTTTTGTGTTTGTGCCTCATGTTGTATGACACACATACAGATATGTCATTGCTTTTCCCCATTCTCCCCCTCCCAGGGTGAGAGGCCAGAGCAAAAATCTGAAGAAGGAGGGTTATATATCAGATCAATGCTTCTAAATCTGACATGTCACCACAAAAGAAAGTAAAATGCACGTATTGACTTGCACACATTAAAACTATCAGGCTGTCTTTGTGCCAAGAGGGCTAAAAAAACAACACATTTTTAACCCCCTTTAAAATATAATATGCCCAAATTGGACTTTTAGCAGATCTTACGTCCAGGAGTAAATGTGATTGTAATTGCTTGAAACAAACATTTGTTGTTTAATGATGTTTCAGGGTCTCTAAGGGCTAATAAAGAGTCCAGGAATCCAAATGTCTGGGTCTTTGTAAGCAATTAAATGCATAAAATGCTAATTTTCTCCTTAAAATAGTGCCTTTAAAGATAAATGGCTTCTCAGTGGAGAAAGCCCACCTCTGTTCTGTGCTGAACTGGAATAATGAGTTCAATTATAATCTACGCAATGATGAAGCTCTGATTCAAATCAGGCCTTTGTGTTGCTGTGTTCATAAGTTATTCTAATTACCTGGCTATCTCGCCATTAGAGCGGTGGGGGAAAAAAAAAGGCAGATTGAACAGATTGCAGGAGGGTGGGAAAACTAATAAGGCCTGCTGGTTAATTGAATAACGCACCGAGCAGTCCACCGCACACATGAGCACTGCATGTTCAAGTTCCAAAGAAGCGCTGTCTGGTGGTTGCACGATAAAGACTAAACGCTGGGGAGAGGATGGAAAAATAAAAGATGAGTTACCTTGCATTCCCGGCAGCTCCTGGACAAAAACCGCTGTCCCTCAGAAAATGTCTGTTCCATGTAGGTGCATTTTGCTGCAGGCAAAAATAAATAAATAAATAAACAACAAAACAGGACAATTTCTATATCACTTTGTTTGGGTAAGCACAAAAACTATGAAATACCAGAAATTGAATAAATTCTTCAGCTAACACTGAGAATTGGAGGTTGCCTACAAAAAAAAAAGTTTCCAGGCTGAAGTTTTGCATAGTTAATTCCGTCTGAAACAAAGTTGTTCTTGGCTAGTGTGCACAAGCGGAAAGGAACTGTAACAGCGCATTAAGAATACAACAGAGGAAGGCTCTTCTGCATATTCCTCTGGTGATAAAGCAGAAATAGAAAGTGAAGCATATGATATGAAGTCCTGCTTTTTCTCCTCTCCGGGGTGCAGGACTGTGGAGCACTCAGTCGCAGCTCCGGAGCGCCGCTCCATCATTCGTTTGTGCCAGAGCTCTGATGTTCACATGGGAGGAAGACGAGGAAGGAGTGAATGGAGGGAGAGGCAGAGGAGGCTGAAATTATTCAAAGGCTGTCTGTACTTTGGGGATTCAGTGTTTTTGCAGTATATTAAGAAGACACAGTTGTCTCTGAGCAGTAACCAGACCCCTGTGTGCTTTTTACAGTGATTCCATTTCAGCTTCCATAAAAATCAGATGACTGTGATCTTTGCTCTCGGCCCATAGCTTACTCTGACTTCACTGTGTCAGAAGAACATTGCCCAGAAACAACAGCCCAGCCCAACACATTAAAAAAAAACAAAAGTTGCACCCATCTATCTGGTTAGATCTGGGGTAGGGAACTCCAGGCCTCGAGAGCCGGTGTCCTGCAGGTTTTAGATGTGTCCTTGATCCAACAAAGCTGATTTAAATGGCTAAATTACCTGCTCAACATGTCTTGAACTTCTCCAGAGGCCTGGTAATGAACTAATCATTTGATTCAGGTGTGTTGACCCAGAGTGATATCTAAAAACTGCAGGACACCGGCTCTCGAGGCCTGGAGTTCCCTCCCCTGGTTTAGATGTACAAAGTTTCTGCTTTGCTTTAGCTGATTTTGCTAATTTCGAGGTTTGTGTTGTTGGTTGGACCAAGTAAACACTGTGAATGCATCATATTTTCAAACAGACCTGCAGTAATCCTTGCTGCTTTCAATCATGGCTACAAACAGCATCACAACCTGATACTGAAGCGACCAGTAGGCAACAATTGGTTTTCAAATTTAGCCCCTTATTACTGAGTCAGTCTTTAGCTATCCATTATGGTGAATAGTGAGTCAATAAGGGGATTTTTAAGGCACAACACTAGTTTATCTAACCTAAAAGCTATATTTTGTGGCTGTGCCAATTGCTGTCTCTCTCTAGCAAAGAACAGGAAGCAATGTGACATTGTTACACTGCTGCAAAAAGGCAACACCAGAAATCTTCTCTTGCTTTGGCACTTCAAAAGTAATTGTGTAGATGGTGTCGAAAGCATAAGATAGCAAGCTAAGAAGAGCTCATTCCAAAAAGTGACAAATGAACAAAGCAAATCAGTCACTTCTCAGCCACTAATAGCCTAAAAGAGGTGGCAGATACAGGGCACCACGCCAAGTTTTTCCTAATTTTGAACCCAATTAACATATAGTCTTCGACTTCATAGATTTATAGGTGTTTTCTAATATCGAACATTACTGAAAATAATGAATGCTGCATGTAGACTCAGCAGTAGCTATTGCAAGTAGTTGAGATGCAATAGTAGACTGGATTTGAACCACTACTTAAATCTGCCAATTTAAAATAATAAATAGCTGAAAAAAATTCTGTATGTCGAAGAAGGATGTAGCTTCCTGGTTGGAAAAATGAAACTAATTCAGAACTGCTTTAAACCAGTGCTCTATCCACCAGAGGGCGATAGCTGTGGATATAAAAAGACTTCCAGTCCTATAGAAGTCTATGTAAAAACAGCTCTTTTTCTTGACCTCTGTAAACACTTTGTTCCTGAGTCGTAGTCACTCATTTTGGGTCATAACGACTAAAAAATGAACGGAAAAATTAACTTCTGTTCACGTGCTTGGTTCTTACTCATTATACTTACGTCTGCATGTCTTGCAGCAATTCCCATCCACATGTACAGGCAACAAGTCTTCTGAGCAGTTTGCCAGAGGACAGAAAATCCTGCGACACTCGACCACACCGTTCTGTAAGAGCAGGTGATATTCTTTTGTTTTAAACGAATAAAAACAAACATTACAAGGAAAAATCCAAAGCTCGGATACATTTGCTTAAGTATTTATGTCAGTTTAAATCTTTAGCTTGGGGGTTGGGGACTTTTTTTTTTACCACTAAATCTGTAACACATATACACATGATATATGTTTTTATCCACTAAGGTTTGCAGTAGTTGAAAGTTGTGGATTGCACCTTATTTGCACCTATAGAGGACTGTTTTAACCTTAGCTAAGGTTTAAAGAGCTCTTCGCGTCGTGTTCATACACACAGCAAAAGCAGCAAAGTTTTCATTCCAAGTGTCATATAAACCAGCTAAACTATTCATAACATTATATTTAGAACTACTCTTAAACTGACAGCTGTGCTATTTAAGAATAATGAACAAACGATGATGCCATGTAATCTGAAAACAGATTATTCACACAGTAGAGACTGAATGAGGGTAGCCTGATGACAGTCGAGGTCCTAAAGGACTGTCTTAATTTTTGAGACTGATACTTCTCTCTCTGCCATCGCCTCTTCATTTCAAGAGTCATCTGAAATGATTCCCTGGGACACCCTGGTTATCAGTTAATGGCATGTCCATGGGAGGAAACCAGACTGACTAAACTTCACCCTGTGCTTGATGTGCAATGATGCAGCAAGTCTAATTCTCCCAGGCCAGCGATGGCCTGATTCACTGCATTTTAAAATCTGGCTCCTGTGTATGAGTGCAGGCAGTCAGGCTGATTAGGGGGCACTTATTAGGAGGCGGGCAGGAGGCAGAGAGAGATGATGCTGGGTGAAAAGGAGGTGTGATGGGAAGGCAAGTTAAGAGAGCTAAGTGGCAGGTATGGTGGCTGGAAAGACTGCATTAAAGAGAGAAAAAGGACCCTAAGATGCTGCTGCACTATTATGTGTCACCAGTGTGAGATTAAAGTGCTTGATAAGGAGGTTTTTAAGGTGTGATAATTGAAAATAGATAACCAAAAGCCAAGGTCTCACTCTTTGAGGATGAGGTTGGCACTCACCTTGCATGCGCAGTTCCTGCAGTTCTCAGGTTCTACCCACAGCTCCTTATCCCGGTAGACCAGACCGTTGGCACTGCAGGTCCTCTCGCAATGACATCCTTCCAGCTGGGTCAGCCTAGACTCAGCATAGTTCAGCTGTACACAGAATTGCCAGAGTCACAAAATGAAATCAGAAGTCTAAGTGCGCATGCTGGTTTTACCCCTCATCCCCTCCCCATAATCCCCCTGGCATGCACTGAATGGTTTTCACCGAGAGGAGCTCCGCCGGGAGCCACTCATTAGTAGGACACATAGAATAATAAGTCATCATCATTCAGCTCATGCTTGAGACCTTAGGCTATAATCTACTGAGAAATGACAGGACTAACAGCTTCGATCCCACCTCACCCTTCTTATATTCCTACACACTGATCAGCCCCTTCTTCCTCAGCTTATTTCATGCTTGACACTCCTCACAGCTGTCTCTCAACACAAGTGAAGCATCTTTGACTGACAACTGTGTGGTGACGAGTGTCCCAGAGACAGGCACACGGGTTGAAGTAGACCAAAATCAGATTTCTTTTCTCTTTGAGCTATTTTATTCCACTCATTTAGCCTAGATTTTTGATTTTTTGGCTTGGGATTACCTGTACATTAACCCACTATCCTCATGTCATTATTTGGAAATTTGTTGGGTTTATGTGTATATTACATGTGCCTAAAAAATACAAAATATACACACGCACACACACAAAATCTGAGTTCTGTTTCATAGATGGGAAGCTGGAGAAATCTGAAAACTCCAACTGATCTGAGCACTCAGAAATTGTAAGGTCTACTTAGACGGTTTGCAACCCTGCCTTTCCACCACTTCGCTCCTCTGAGAGCTGCCCAGGTCTCAGTGTCAAAAAGACAGGAGTAGCTGGGAAATGATAGACGCTTTTCAGGAAAAAAGAAAAAATGCTGGATGTCACAGAGGCTTTTTACTTCATTTAGAGAAGTCTCGGCTGGCTGCTGGAATGCTGTGCGAGTTATGAATAGTAGAGATATGTCCTGTCAAAGCCCAAAAACAAAATGTTTGAAAAGCAATTTCAAAGGCTCGGAGGCTGCCTCGAGGCACCACAGAGGAATACCTTTCCTGTACAGTGTGAGCATCAAATGGCGCCGTGACGATGCATAAAGAAGTCACAGGTTAACAGGCATGGATCTCCTATGGTGGATACAACAGCCTGAGAGAGGTGTGGAATAAGGAAAAGTCCCAGCTAAACACAAAGTCGACACACCGGAAGCCTCACATTATGATATTTACGCCATTCATCACTTGTTGCCGTTCCTGCTTGTCTGACAGATATGTTAAGCACGTAAAAGTTCAATCTTATCATATTCTGGGGACCAGTGAGTCTTGGGCCAATGAACATTTAATTAAATTTTGTTTGTAATCAAGATCTGAATTGTCTGTCGTTAAGCGCTTATCATATTTTAGTTGGAACAATGAAACAAACACACATTGGGATTTGGTTTGAAACTCAATGCATCAGTGCATCTATAATTCAAGTGATGGTAATGCTTTAGCACTTGGGATTACAGTAGTGACAGAAAAAAACCAGAGGTTAATAAAGAAGATTTTCGCCACATTAAGCTGGTATTTAATTTGCAAAAGGGCTCATCTGCACATTTTAGTGAATTAGGAAGGAATTAATGAATTGTATTTTGGGTTTCCATAGATCATTATTCATATTAATAGTAAAGCCATTCTATTCTGCCAATTAACTCCATGGATGTCTTTGGACTGTGGGAGGAAGCCGAAGTAAACAGAGAGAACACTGAGAGAACATGTATATATATAGAAATTTATATTCAAAAATACTTATCCTTTGGATTTAACCTTCTAAAACTGCAGGATCAGGCCACTGGGTTACGCTTACTAATAACAATATTAGTAGTGATATTTATAGCAATAGTTATTATTTAATGGTACTTATACACTAATTAAATCAACTTACAATGTAATTATTTCTTCTTTCCTGTAAAATACATTACGTATACACAACTTTAAGTTACTTAGATAGTACTTACAACAAAGTACCTACCTACTGCAATACTTAAATTTACTCATGCACGATGTAAAATTACTTACATATACTTCAGTTTACTTACAGTGTAATTATTTCTGTTCCCAGTAAAAACCTGACTCAATACTCCTTATTCTAGTATGCTTATCTTTAAGTATTTGTAGATATATAAATAAACATATTCAAATAGATTTGTATTATGAAAGTATAACTACATTGTAATTTCAATAAAAATGTACTTAAATTTATTTTAATTACAGGGCAATTGCTCCCTTAGTCACGGACCATATTATAAAATGTTACCTATTAATATTATTATCATCATTTGTTTGTTTTTTTTTAGTTGCCTCTGTGAAGCTTTGAAGCTGGCCCTGCGGTAATGCCCAAGCAACTTCAAGCTTTTCACTATTTCTATGTGAGCAAATGTTTTAAAGGGAATATTTATCTTAGCTTGAATGGTTCATTCACGATGCTTTATGATAAATAAAATAAAGAACATATATATGCTGCTCTACAAAATAAGAAATATCTTTGAAAACTCAACCCAAAATTCAGAGACGTCTAATATCTGCCGACTTCAAGAACTGAAATGACATACATGGGTGAATACCAAACGGTAGTTTGGATGTATCCGAGTAGACGTCATGTTTTTTTTCTTCCTTTTTAGTAACTGGAGCGAATCAAAATTTCAAATATGGGGAAACAAAACTGGATCATTACTGATACTGCATGCTGTGGTATCACGAAACAAAGGTACTGAGCTTTGTCTAGTATACTTTTTGGCACAAAGACATCCTCGGGCTCCATCTCAGGTGTAATGCATGCAAATGCGTTGTCATCTCACCCCACCTTGACACTCCACATCACACGCTCAGGACCAAGCAATTATTCACCTCATGCTGAATTCCTCTATTTTCTACATCACAGAGGCAGACAGCCATTTAGCCGTGGAGATGACTGCATTCTCCCTGCTGCGACTTGTACGTGCAGTGAGGTTACGTGGCAATAGGTTTGGCTGCGCTCATGTGAAGTAGGAGGTACCGACGCAGCGGTGGGGTAATGTTCTTCATCTCATCCTTATTTACGCCGAAAATGACTCTACAGCTCAACCACCCACCAAGATGTCTTTGTTTCATCCACTCTCACCTTATATCACTCACTCATGCAGTGCGCACGCACACACAAGCACACATTCATACGCATTCGTTTATGCAGATGTTCAGTCTTAGAAATGGGTCATGCTTTGGCTCTAAGCTTGAATGCATGCTGCCTGGTAACTTCTGATTGTACCAATGCAGTCATCATTTCATGACACCTTTATGAACCCTGGTTCGCATGTCCGTTATGTGTGTGAAAAACCTAATATCAAACATGCTATAATGATGTAGAAAGCCTTTATACTGCTAAAACAGTACTGAAAACAGTAAAGGTGTGGCATAGTGTGAGGCCTTTGTCCAGGGTGTAAAACACCAAGAGAAAGAACAGTACACTGGAAAGCAATAAATAAAGATCATTATCAAAATCATAATCTCATAGCTTCCAATGAATGCTACTGCTCAAAAAACACTGCCAGTGCTGCTGCCCTCAGCCTCCAAGCAGATTCACCTGTGGTATTTTTCAATTTTAATTTCACTCCACTGGCTACCTGTACATTTTAGGATTGTTTTTAAAATTCTCTTATTTGCTTTTAAATCTCTTAATGGCCTGCCCCCCCCCACCTCTCGGAGCTACTACAACCATATACACCTGCCCGTTCCTTTAGGTCCGCCAATCAGCAGCTCCTTAAGGTACCGAAAACTAAGTATAAATTTAAAGGTGATCGTGCTTTTGCTGTAGTTGCTCCAAAGTTGTGGAATAATCTACCCTTGCATGTTAGGCAGGCCTCTTCTCTTTCTGAATTTAAAAGTCTTCTTAAAACATATTTATTCACTGAAGTCTTTGGCATTGATTAGAGGGGTTGACTCAATTTATTTTAGTTTTTTAGTTATTTATTTTATCTTATCTTATCTCATTTTAATTTTCTTTACTTATGCTATTAGCATGTACAGCACTTTGTGAACTCTGGTTTTATGTTAAAGTGCTTTATAAATAAAGGTGGTATGGTATGGTATGGTATTATTTGATAATAGGTGATTTTTAGAAAAGTTGACCTCTGATGATTTTGAGACTGAAACTCATATGGAATGAATTTGAAAATCCTAGGTGACATCTTTCTCAATTTATTGTGTTCATAAGATTTTCAAAAAACGTGACCGACATTTGAACATGTCAGAGATTTTAGGAGATGCACTAATGGCATCAGTTTGAAAATCCTACAGCACCTTGTTCTCAAGATATTGTATTCATAAACTTGGTGGCATGGTGATGTGATGCTAAACAAGAAAGATCTGGGTTAGGTATTTGATGCATTTGCTGGTTTCTCTTTTAAAGGTGCACATTTTATAGATAGCTCACTTCCATTTTTTGACCAAATCTAAATTTTGTTTAGACGCTGAACATTTGCTAAGTGGGATTAACTTTGTCCCTATGAGGTTTACCATCAACATTTTTACTCTATAAACAGGTAATTTGCATGACCAAGGAGCTTTAACAAAGTGGGTGCATTCACATTTATTTCTATTGTTGTGGAGTAATTGTATTCAAAGTGAAAACTGTAAAAACAGAACGACCATTTGGGACAAAGTAACTGTCTGTTTTCTGTTTCCTTTCCCGTGCACGTTATTATCTTTTGTATTTTTCTTTTTGAAAACTGCTTTGATTCGTGCTCACAATAATAACAGGTGGAATAATCATATTTTCTAAAGACAGATTATGGTTTCTTTTTTGTTTCCCTAACAATAACTTATGTCTTTACTGAGCACCGTGTTGTTGAAATTAAACAAAAACGAGACGCTGACTTCAGAAGAGACAGAACAATGTGCTTCAGTAAAAGCGGCAACAAAATCAAAGGGGCTGGATTTCTCCAGCTGCACAGAAGAAGGAAGTTATTTATTCATTTTCATTTATTTTTTATTTACATGTCAGATTGCAACTTGAAAAAGGTATTAGTTGGTACCTTATTTAAGCCTTTAAGACATGGTTGCCAGCATTTTGCAAATTGGCTGTTTCTTTTATCTGAAAAACCTCTCTTTACTGCGGTGGTACACCATACTGTGCATTCTCCTAGGGTTCTAATTCCCTTGTGACTCAGTTATAGCAGTTTTCTGTGTGGGAGGTTATTCTTTGCTCGTACCTTCAAGGTCATCTTAGCCAGTAGTTCCTGAAGGTCCATGATGCCTTGCACCAGGCTCAGGAAATCACTGCAGGTGGGACAGGCTCAAGGGATGAACAGCAAGCACCAAAACAAAGAAGAGACAAAGAAAAGCAAAGCAACAGGAAAGCATTTAAATAGGAGATCAACAGAGGAGAGGACAGAAATCATTAGAATGACTACATTTATTTGGCCACAGCTCACCCAACAGTAAACAAAAGGGAAGCTTTACATAGCTGTACACTCTTTGTCTTAGGATTGAGCCTGTTGTTAGTATCAGCAATAAAGCACCCAGGTGTGATTGCCTTATTGATCAAGTGACAGAGACAGTAGTGCAGCGGTGGCCCTGTATCTTAATCTGTTTTTTGACAGTAAACAGATGGAGGAGCCAAAGCGAGAGGAGGCTGCACTGAATCTGAAATACAGCGCAATAAAGCCACGTTGCCAGAGCAGAGGAAGGAGACAAAAATGGAGAGAGGTTTTACCCGAGGAGACGGAGCCTTTCAAAGCTTTTCATAGAGGTGACCACCAGCTGACACACAGCCCATTACAGTTTTTTTTTTTAATAGCACACACTAATGGGAAAAAGGTTTTTTTTTCTATCATGTTGTTAATCCTCAATACTATGCATGAATTTAATCACGGTACTTACTACGGTTAAGGTTTGGACACTGTGTGATGTAGCCGTTGGGAGCAAAAATCAGCTTCACATCCTGAATGATGCCCTGGCAACAGAGAGGGAGGGTGAAGTGAAAAGAGAAAAGGAGACAATATAAATAAAGACATATTCATTTCTATCTCCACAATCACACTCTTGGGCTTGACTAGTGTAGCTTTCACGGTTTAGACTTAGAAATAACCTCTAGTTATCTTACACTGGGCCTTAATGCAAACCCCGTCACTCCACCCACTGTATGACACATGCCCCTATAGCCCTCTTCCCCTCCCAGCTATCTTCTGGTTAGCTGCCAGTGTTGTGTCAAAATTAATGTTTCTATGTGTTTTTTTATGTGAAATGTTTTTATATTGGTAAACAGAGTCATTCTACCCTTGTGACAGGAATGTTGATTGTGGCTCAGAATGACTTTTCATCATTCAAGGGAGATGGGTTTGACATATGTTTCACAGATTACAGGCCAACAAGTTATTTACAACAGTTTAAACACAGCCTTTGGCAAATCCCGGGACAGGAGATTTAAGCAGCAGGTGGGTGTGGCTTCTTTGCTCATGGCTAGAGCGGCGTGCCTGAGACTACCATATAAGGACACTACTGACACCAGACCCAAGAGTTGAAAAAATGGTCTGAAACAGAGCACCTAAAGCAGTAAAACGCTTCAGCTTCTGACTCCTAGATAGCTTGCTCATACACTGACTTCATCATTTCAAACATCATTCACCATTATGATGACACATGTGCGATAGAAAATGAGGAAGACCATAATGGATCCCATTTGAGCACATTAATGTGCTCACAAAGAAGAAAAAGTACTTCTGTTTAGCAGGTACATGTTTGATATTCACTATCGTCAATTACTACTAAAAAGAAACAAAAAGAAAAAAAAGTAAATTTGGTCAATAAATAAAATAAATCCATTTAAAACTGTCAGTTATTTAGACTTTTCACTCAAAGCTCACACATGCGGCTCATGAACATCAGTTGGCTAGGCAGAGAAATTGAGCTGGAAAGGATGTGCAGCAGATTAAGGTGATTAAGGACAGAAATGAAGAGATGATGTGTTAATAAGTGAAGAGAATGTGCTGAGAAGATGGAAGGACTACTTTGGGGACCTGATGAAGGATCAGTAATCAGGACATGAGGGCTATGATCAGGATGAAGATGTCTAGGAAAGAGGGCGATGGACTTTTTGACAAGATTGTTTAATATAATTTTGAAAAGTGAGACTATACCTGAGAAATGAGAGATGATCTGCTGCGAACTCACGAATACTCTTTACAGATTCACCAACATTGTGACTCAGAGTCTAATAAACGTTGAACTAGGGCTATGTCCACAATGAAACTGCGTTTTTCCTGAGGAAAAAAGCAGCATTTTGAAAACGCTCTCGCAAACCCATACATTTCAAAACGGAGCTGTCCCATAGCAGTGTGGACACTCGAAAACGCAGACTTTCTAAAACGATGACGCATTTTAGTCATGTGATGCAGTCATGTGACCAATTAAACAAAGATAGCGGAGGGCATTATATAGCAGTTGTTTTGATCGCTCTCAATTTTGACAGCCCTAAAAAAGATTAATATGGTAAATGGCCTGTATTTATATAGCGCTTTACTAGTCCCTAAGGACCCCAAAGTGCTTTACATATCCAGTCATCCACCCATTCACGGACACTGGCGCCACTGGGCCCTCTGACCACCACGAGTAGGCAACGGGTGAAGTGTCTTGACCAAGGACACAACGACCGAGACTGTCCGGGGCTCGAACCGGCAACCTTCCAATTACAAGGCAAACTCCCAACTCTTGAGCCACGATCGCCCTTTGTACTGTTGTACATGCTCCAGATAGCTTTTCTTCAAATTCTTAAGTCTCACTCGCTTTTGCGCATGTGCAGAACTGGAACGTAAGTGTTTTCGGCCGTTTTGTGGGCACACAACTCTGTGAAAAAGACTGAAAACGCTAGTGTGGATGCGGAGCCTTTTCAGACGAAAACTCTAGTGTGGACGTAGCCTAGGTTTCACAAAGGGTTCACTTGAAACCCGGCTGATTGAGAGAGGAGGTGATGGCACTGTACGAGTGGTGCCTGGAAAATAACCTGACTCTCAACATCAGCAAAACTAGAGAGATGATAGTGGACTACCGGAAACGACCAGTCAGAGAACACCAGCCCATCCACATCAACGGTGTCAAGGT